AAAAAAAAAAAAAAAAAAAAGGGAAAAAAAGAAAAAAAAAGGAAAAAAAAAGATAAAAAAAAGAAAGAGAAAAAGAAAAAAGAAAAGAAAAGAAATTGGAGTTGCAGTTTTTGCTAAATTCTTTTTTCCCCGAAGTTCTTTGAGACTTCGATTACAGACGTTAAAATTGGAACGACAGTGATAAATAATATTGGAATATATGGGCCTCGCTCCACTGCATTTAACATTTTTTAAATGTAGCTGGATGTTGATTAGCGGAGCGCGGCTCTATATTAGAATCTTGGATGCACATTTTTACAATTCATAATAATTAATAGGTACTCTAGAAATGGCTGGGCTGCCCGCCGGGCCGCCCGGGTCACCTTGTTTGACCAGGCAGCCCGGCCGTGCAAGGACCACGGAAGGGCCCGACAAAAAAAAAAGAAAAAATCGGAAAATTTCAAAAATACGAAAACTAACTATGTGATGCAGAAAAATAAACTGAACAACTTTTGCCTCAGGGTCACTTCGAAATTCTCTACCAAATTTAATAAATAAAAAATACTTTTATTTAAAAAAAATAATTATTTTTGGTCCGGCCGGGCAAGTTGCCCCGGGCCACTCTGCTAGCCTAGAGAAGTGGTGAAATGGTGAATAGTGAAAGCAATGGCCGTAATTCTTCGTGACATCCGGTAAAAGTGGAACGATGCAGAGAAGGTGTTTTTTTTTTTTTTTTTTTTTTTAAATTAGCATGGACGATACATACACACAAGATTAGCATGGCTCTCGTGGGCAAGGAAGAAATGGTCCCCCCCCAAAAAACATTGGCCATAGACTGCTGCTCCCTCAGGCAACCATAGATAAGGGCATTACATCCGGATGCACATCTCTTTTTTTTTTTTCTCCACATCCGCGTGCACAGTTCTCAGTTGAAACGCGCACATTTTCCCCGATGCATTTCGCCCGCCGAGGTTGCGCTCTTGGCACTCCCTCAAGGGGCTTGGGGGCTTGTCCCAATATCGCCTCTCGCGGGACCATCGAACGTTCCAACCATATGTCGAAGAAAAAAATAAAAAATAAAAAATACGAAGAATACCGATGAGCATAAATAGGGGAATAAGTTAAGACAAAAAAAATCCATCGCACCACATTAAAAAAACGGTAGTGAAAGAAAGATGTGTTCCATGATGACATGGCAGATCGCCAGTATAAAAAATATGAGAGGTGAAAGAAAAATTATATGGCTGTTTCCCAATGAGGAGAAGGCAGCTTTTATTATAAAAAAAATAGTAATAAAAAAAAACGAATATTTTACGAGTTTTTGAACAGAAGATTAGAATTGCGGCCATTGCCCAAGCGCATTCAAGGATTTCACGCTTTAAAAAATCGAGAAATGGTCCCAATAGGGCCAAAACTATAAAATAAATAAATAAATAAATAAATAAATAAAAATAAAATAAAATAAAATAAAATAAAATAAAATAAAATAAAATAAAATAAAAAACCCTAGAAGTGAGAGAGTGGCTTTTTCATGTTTTACTTTTCGAAGAGAGAGTGGCTTTTTCATGTTTTACTTTTCGAAGAGAGAGTGGCTTTTCCTTCGGGACGTCCATTTCAAATTAGAACGATACAGAGAAAGAGGATTAGCATGGCCCCTGTGTAAGGATGACACGCCCGAATTATCGAGAAATGGTCCAAATACTAAAAAACTTCCCCCCCAAAAAATGAAACCCCCTGGGGCACGGTCCAACTAGCACCCGGATTAGCCTTAGCTATATCCGGGGCACATCTGTTTTCTGTAAAACATTGTAGTCCGATTGGTAAGGCCCGCCCATTCGACGTAGATCTTACGGCGGGGGCACATCTGTTTTCTGTAAAACATTGTAGTCCGATTGGTAAGGCCCGCCCATTCGACGTAGATCTTACGGCGGTGCTTTCTTCTTCAATTGTTTGGCTTGTTTCACTTTTTCCATGTCTTCCAAATGAAAATGGATCGCCCTTCCATTGGCCATGTATTGAAAAGAGAAAAGAAAATGCATGCGAGGGGCGTCTTCTCTCTAGAGCACACTAGTTTTGGGTAGAGGGCGGTCATAGTTCCCTGAAAAATAACTCAGAAAAGTGATTAAAAAAGTATGGAAATTGGAAAATAATGTGACCTGGCGGTTGCCCTGTGAGAATGGGAAGCGCCGTCCTTCCACAACCGTAAGTTCAGCACCAGAGGCTGGCGCAGCACTGTAGTGTATCGGGCCCGTAAACAGCCCCATACATTTTGAAGAAACCTCTCAGACCCAAAAAAAGTCCCTGATTTCTTTTTTCTTTTTTCTATTTCTAACTATTTCTTGAAGTCTCTTTAATACGGAAAACACATGTGACCCGGATATAGCTAAGGCTAATCCGGGTGCTAGTGGGACCGTGTCCCTGCTGAAGGATGATACGAGCGAAGCCAGATATCACAAAGGGTCCTATGGAGAACACAGATTTGATTGATCATTCACAGGACGTCCATGCAGGTCGTAGTTTCAAACGCTCTGCCGGCTTACTTACAGTCAGTCGCTAACTATCGTCTTCCCCCGAATAGAACGCACGGTCATCATAGCTGTATTCAGACTGAAAGATACCCTAAATGCTGCTATAATGACCGTACGTTGTATTTGGGGGAAGGAGGTACGGACCTCCGTGAGAGGCACTGAGAGGTGTATGCGAGGGAGGGAGCTTGCACATAGGGTTGGGGAAAGGCTCTCTGATGCTGCCTATCTATGTATGAAGGTGTCAGTTATGCTATTTCAAAATCGAGAACTGGTCGAAATACGAGGAGCAAAAAAAAACAAGAGATTGAAAAAAAAAAAAAACCGTAGAAGAGAGACAGAGTAGATTTTTCTTATTTTATTTTTCGAAGTGAGAGACTGGCTTTTCCCTTGGGATGTCTGTTGAGATTAGAACGATACAGAGAAAGATTAGCATGACCCCTGCGTAAGGAGGACAGGAATATATATCGTTGGATATCCCATTTTGTAAGTGGTGTGCATTTTCATTATATTTACCAATTTTTTTTACCCTTTTTTCATATTTTCTCTTCACTCTCGTTCTCGTACTATTACAGAGGGATCCCGATCCTCCTCCCTAGACCATACGGGGCCCGGGACCGACTAGCATCGCGTAAAACGGTGTGTGGCGTTGTTTTCATATTTAAAAACACATAAACAATGCTTTTTTTCATTTACACGAATGCAAAGAAAAGGAACCAAACGAAAAAATAAAACAGTCTGACATCGACATCATGACAGTACAGCCTGTGCATCATCCCTCATTCTCAAGCCTTAGCGCCTGGGAAAAGGCAAGGAAACCAACCGGCCTACAGTGACGCCGTCTGCCACGGGGCGCGTTGAACTGTCAGTGCACACGGAAATCTCAGTATTCTCTATTTCTGCACATTAAAAATTCACGGCGCCAAGCTTCAAAAGCAACCCCCACATAAAAAACCATAGAATTGAAGATTCGCGTCAACGCAGAGTGGCCAACTAAATGTCCAACAAACTAGGCTACCAGAGTGGCCTGGGGTCAATTGCCCGGCCGGGCCCTAAAAAAATAAAAAATAAAAAATAAAAAAATTCAAATTTTAATTTTTATTATAAATTTGGTGAAGAATTTCGATGTGACCCTGAGGCAAAAGTTGTTTAGTTTATTTTTCTGCATAACATAGTTTCTTTTCGGTTTTTTTTTTTTTTTTTTTTTTTTTTTAAATTTGCTGGGACGTTCCCTGGTCCTTGCACGGGTTGCCACCCGGGCCCCGGGCGGCCCGGCTGGTTGCCTAGCCAACAAATAAATTTAAAAATATCCTACTGGCCGATGGGGCAGCTGCCTCCACGAAAACGAAGACAATCGACAATAGCAGTCGATACGGAAAACGATCAACGACTGCCGTTTGTCATGGACGGCCGCACGTGATCGAAAACCACAGAGCACAAGCGAAAATCGGACGTAGTCAGTCCCGTCCCCAGGGAAGATTAGCATGGCCCATGCAAAAAAAAGGATTGCATGCACAAATCGATCTGACCTGAACCTTTGGCAGAATGAACTTGGACTAACTTTGGAACAGGTTCATGTACATGAACAAATTGGGTGGATGAGAGCTTGGCTTTCCAAAGCAGTTTGTCGAAACTACCATCGTGTACTTCAATTAGGTAGTATGAACGTGGACTGATTATGGAACAGGTTCATGTAGATGTATATATGAGCAAATTCGATTCATTTTTTATCTGTATTCAGGTCATACTGCTCTAGGACTTTTTTTGACCTCTTCTAGCTGTCATTGTGGTCAGAGCCATCGTCAAAGCTCCTCTGTTTGAATCCCGCATCCTTGTCTTTTAAGTGCCCATCTGATAACATTCCCTGCGGGTGAACTCTCGTCTATGACTTATGTCAATATTATTACATTGTTTTGCAAGGTGCTGCTCTGACACATTGCTAACCGCTGTTTTTTTTTTTTTTTTTTTTTNTTTTTTTTTTTTTTTTTTGTGAAGAGCGAAGCAAGAAGGCTAGAGACAGTCTACTTGTGGAACTGAACTCCATTTTGAAGGGCGTCTGCGCATCCGTCGATAAACTGGAAAGAAGTTGATCGTCCGTACGATGGCTGCCCTGTGTGCTCCGCTGCCTCAGATCGGCTGTAGATGCTCGTCGGCCTCTGCACAGGTATATCTCGCCTGTTTATTTATTGTCATAAATCTTATTTTTATTTTTATTTTTTTCCTCTTTTTTTTTTTGCTTAGGAGAGAGGCGAAGACTGTAAATGTCGTGGATAAATGATAAATGTGTTGAATGGCGTCCCTCAGTCTCTGTAATGTGGAAACAGAAGGAATGTGGAAACAGGAGGAATGTGGAAACAGAAGGAATGTTGTGCATACTGCAGTATAATAGTGTTTTGACAAGCGGCAAGCAACACTATGATGTGTGAAAGGAGGGCTGCTCATGTGCAGTGACGCACGGATGTCTTTCTCTGGGCATGATAGGAGTACAGCTGTCTGTCATGAGATTCTGCTTGTGGGGCTTATGGGCGCAGTATGGTGAAGTTGGGAGCCTATGTCCGGTCTCTTTCTTTCTCCCGCTTTCTCTCCCTCCTTCTCGCCCTCTTTCTTTCCCCCTCTCTCTCTCGTTCACTCCCTTTTTGTCTCCCTCTTTCTTTCCCTCTTGCCCACACATCCTTCTCCCTCTCACTTTCTCTCCCTCTCCCTCTCTCTCTCTCTGTGTGTGTGTGTGTGTCGGAGTTCTCTCTCTCACTTTCTCTCCCTCTCTCTCGCCCTTTTTCTTTCCCTTTCTCTCTCTCTCTCTCTCTCTCTCTCTCTCTCTCTTTCACTCCGTTTTTCTCCCTGTCTTTCTCTCAGTTGTGACACAGTTTTGAAGCGTGGTATAGAAACTCAATCTGTCAGCTGACTTGCCAGTGTACTTGTGCATAATTCTTATTTCTGACGCCGTTTGATGGTCTCTGATTCCTGCAGAGTATTAGCAGTGGGCAAGCTGCCGAGTCAGCAAAGAACTTGAGGACGAGGGAGTCGTCTGCAGCCTTGTTTCCACGTCAGTTTGCCGGTGCATCGCTGAGCTCATCAACGTCAGACTATGTTAATGGCAAAACCTTAGAAGACACGATCTCCAGACAAAATCGCAAAGCGACTCGATCACTGCGCTCCACATGGCATCCAGTCAAAGCACAAGCTGAAGGTAAAAAAAAAAAGAAGCTTAAGCTCAGAAAGGTGAACTGACACATCAGTGCCTACCGTCTTCACCCGAATAGAACGCCCCGTAATTAGCGCCGTATCTGGACTGAAAGTTGTGCCAAATACAGCTATAATGACCAGGCGTTCTATTCGGGTGAAGACGGTAGCTCTGAGTGGAATGGCGTACTGACATTTGTGGATTGCGTAGCGCTTCCTCCCCCCCC